AAAAAAAAAAGAAGAAGAAGAAAGAAAGAGGTGAGGGATCGGTGATGAAGGTGATGAGAATTAGAGATGGGTGATTGATGATGAAGAAGAATGATCGGTGATGAAAGTGGAGGATGATGAAGATCGGAGATGATGGGTAAAAATAGTGATTAGAGGATGATGGAAGAAAAAGACGAGGAAGGTTAAATTTGTAATTTTATCCTTTAATTTATACAGGAAAACGTTTATTTTATATTATGTGCACCCATCGGTGTTGAACCGGTGGGTGCACATATCTTTATCCTTTCAAAATTTAGCAATCTGGGTTTTTAACCGTTTAAACTGGTTGAACCATTAAAATCATGAACCGAAGATCAAAATAGTTAGACCCTCGATTTGGTTTTAAAAACAAGGAGTAAAAGATTGAATAATATCACCTGTCTTGAACCACTAATTCCCCAGTATCTCTCACAGTGACTCCAATAGTAGCTTTCATGCTCATTTGCTTAGAGTATGTTTTGTGAAACTTGTAAGTGCTTCAAAACATTATTTATGTTTTATAAATTTAAATTTTTATATTAAAAACGTACATTTTTTAACTTCTTTTAATCTTAAAAAGATTTTAAACAATAAATTTTAAAAAACTTCAAAATTTTATTTTTTGTAAACTTCTTTTTTACTCATTTCTTACTATTTATAAAAACAACTTTTAAATTTTCTCTTCAATAAAAATTTAAACTTATGACTCATTAATAATACTAAAAAAGTAAAAGCTCCAAAAAGTTCTACCAAACAGGCTCTTAGTACCAAATGCTCCTTACATTTTTTATGATGGATAAAGGCCCCCTTAGATTTGATATACACGTATATAGAACTCACCTTGTGTTCTGAACTCAAAAGAATCACGTATTCCTGAAAATGCTTTTCCTTACGGACTTAAGCAAGTCTTAAAAGTGCTCTTCCCCAAATCAAATCAAAGTTAGTAATTAACACTACAGATTAGGCATATATTGTTCAAATAAAGATTCACAGACTGCGTCTAGATAACAGTAGAACTCATATATTTATGAAAACTAGTGCATGACACTCACAATCTAACACGAGAAGCAATTTTTCGCCCGCACATAAAATACACAGGATGGAGGAAAATCTTGTCATGTCCTGCTAATTTGGTATGATTTTGATGCCTTTAATAAGGACACCACTCTTCTAGTGACCATTGAAACGAAAAATCTGTATTTCCAATTTGCCATCTTCACCTCCTTCATTGAAGAATTCACCCAACTCTAGCTTTAACCAACCATCTCCCTTTTCTATTGGGTATTGGTAATCATTTTGTACATCTTCACCCTCTGCATGCAGAAATATAGTTTGCTGTAAATCTCCAGTTCTGCTAAGTCGAACAATGGCTTCTATAGGTTCATTTCTAAATCCAAAAACTCTAGCCGCCAGCATGAACACAAGGTATGCCTTGTAATTTGTCATTGAAGAAAGCTTGCAAGTACTGATCCTCCCATTGATTTCAAACCAACAAACATTGAGAAGCGCTGCACCCTCAGGGAACCTATTTGTAGTTAAGCATGAATTATAGACATTGATCTTCACATATTTCATTTTTAGTTGGAGAAGACACTTTAAAACAATCAACTACATGCTTGAATTCTTTTGGTTGGGTGTGAGTGAAACTGTGTCCTACATGCCTTTTGTCTGCATTTTTTGTGTGGTGTTTGTGTGTGTGTGTGTGAGCTGGAATCTCATATGGAGTTTAGAGAGAGAGAAAGAAACCTGGAATCTTGTATGGAGTTCGATCTCCAATAATGAGGAGTATCACCCCATGTAATTGTGAGGTCCCTGGCAGGTAGCATGTAACATTTCTTCCCAATCCTTTTGTGCAGTGAAAAGCTTTGCGCAATACAATTAAACACTCAACTAGTTCTGAAAAAGTTGGCCAAAAAACCCTAGAACTGAAAAAGAATAGTTTGGAAAAAGATAACTGATCAAACTTCAAACTATCAACAAGGAACCAAAGGAAAACATAAACTCACCATAGAAAGGACATAGTCATCATTAATCATTATTACATGACCAACCAAAACATAATCCTCTAGCACACATATTCCAAAAAAAGGAAGCATTGAATACCCAGGCAACACATCCATAAGTTTTGTAAATTATACCAATAAAAATCCTTATAGTTAGCTGCTTCATATAGACATGAATTTAGGACTATCAACACAAAAGAAAATTACACCAAGTCATCGTCTCTTAACAAGCCATATATAGCTACACGCAAAAAAAAATGTTAAAAGTCCTCAAGAAGTTTGTAAAAAAACAGATGTTAAAAGTGCTTCGGAAAAATCATTCACAGCAGACAAAAAGCGTGTAGCTCAATTAGCTACACACAGCGATTGATTGGAAAAGGAAGGCATTATCAGAAGTTGGTTTTTTAAAGCTTATGACTCGTACTCAGTCCAAATAATGAAATCTTACAATATGCATATGTCGAGTGAATGCATATCGAGTCAAGTACCTTGCTGAGTGAAAAACTGAAAAGAGCCAATGATTAACACTACCTAAGATTGTAAGATTTAGGACTGTAAGATTTTATTAAGAAAACATGTACTTCCTCTTCTCTAGTCTGATTTAGTTATTCTAATTTAAATTTTGCATAAAGTTTGACCGTATGTAAATCAGAAAAATGATCTGTAGTCCATCCTCATACTGTAATACTGTAACCAACGGGCAGAATGCACATCTTATAACAACTAATGAGGGGTAGGTCCTTACATTGGGAGAGTCTCCGTACATCAATGCTACAGTCAGCCCAAATTGTCCCCAAATCCTTACCCTTGACATAAAATCGAAAACCTCTTCTTTGGGATGAATGGAGTAATTAAATTTATTCTATGGATAATTTTTATTGAGTATTTTTGATTTTTTTTTTCAATTACGATTTGTTTGTTATATAGAATTATCAAATTAATTTGTATAAAATTGATGAGTTAGGAGAACTAAAATGAACCAAAGGAGGAGTAAATCATTTTCCAGTGAACAGAACATACCAAACTATAGGATTATGAGGACCGAGAAACAAAAAGATCGGAAGGCAGGTGGGAGTCGACATGTATATATTTACCTTTTTGCCATTTTCAATGAGTACAGGATGATCGCAGAGGCTGAGATAAAGGTCCTTCAAGGAAGAAAGGAAGCGCGATGCGGGAACCAAATTCTGATAGTCGGCCTGCAAAACATAACCCAAACGGCGTTGGAACTGGCGACAGAGTTGAAAAAGGGGGAAACTAGTGACAATCTGCAGGCATCGAGAGGACTGGTTAAGGAGATGATAGCGGCCAAGCAATCGGCCGGAAGAACACGGAAATCCAGCGTCTCAGGATGGAATCGTTGACCCCCCGGACCAGTACGCATTGTGACCGAAAATGTGGAATGCCAACGGGCGGATATTGGAGTTTAAGAAAGGGTATCTGAGGAAAGCTCAGTTGTTAAGTTTTTGTAAGGTTTAAATATCATTTTGGTCTCTCAACTTTTCACTTTGCTATCAAAATTGTCCCTTAACTTTAAAAAGTATCAAAATATCTCTAAATTTTCATTTTCAATGCCAAAATTATCCCTAAACTTTCATTTTCGATACTAAAATAGTTTTTTCGTCAATTAAGTGAACAAGTGACACGTTAAAATGTCACAAAATCATATTTTTAAAAAAATAATAATTACGTGGAAAACATATCATGCAAAAATGATGAGATGGCATTTTTTTCCATCTGTTATTTTCTTATTTCAACAAAAATTAATTTATAAATTAAATGAATTTAAACATAATTAAGTTAACTTTCATTTCGTCATCTTCTTCTTTCTCCTCATCCATGTGCTACTTTTCTTTGTCTTGTGGAACTAGAATTTTCAGTTCTCTTTAAACCAATTCTCACTAGTTTCTGTGTTGATATCGCCAGCATTTTGCGTTCTGGTTTGCTACAGATCGAGTCTCTGGTGGTTCTGGTACTGTTTCTTTTTGATTTATTCGCATCCACGTGATTTGACTTGGTTTAGTGAAATTTGAAAGCATATTTGAGGTCTTTTTGTTAGACTGTGATTTAGTTTCTCTTTTGTTGCATTTCAATGGTGTTGAAGGAGTCATCTGGGTTTGAGAAGAACTTAGATCTGGGTTTGATTTGGAGAGGAAGAAGAAGGGAGAAGAGAGAGAGAAAGCATAAGAAGAAGAAAGAAGGATGGGCAAGGAAGAAGAAAGGAGGAAGGAGATGAGGTTTGAGAGAGAACCCAAATCTAGGTTTGCAGAGGTAAGGGAGAAGGAAAGGTAAAGGAGAGAGAAAGTGAAAGAGGAAGAAGAGATGACATGGATGGAAAAAAATCATTATTTTTAAATTAAAAAAAAATGTCAATTCATATAAAAAAAGATGAACAATTATTTTTTTTCCACGTCATTAATTAAGGAAAAAAATTGATTTGCTAGCAAGTTAACGTGCCACCTGTTCATTTAACTGACCTATCCATTTAACTGACGAAAAGGACTGTTTTGATATCAAAAATGAAAGTTTAAGGATAATTTTAGTACTTTTTAAAGTTAAAGGACAATTTTAATGCATAAGTAAAAAGTTGAGGGACCAAAATGATATTTAAACTTTTTTGTAATGCTAATTATTATAATTTTCTATTATAATCCTGTCATATATTATAAACTCATGATATCATATTATGTAATATTATTTAATACTAAATTATAATTATATATTTATAATCACATCTATTTATAATTATATTTTTTAGTAGATGTGGGTTGAAAAATCCATAATTAAAAAAATTTTAAATCATTATAAATGAGTAGGATTTGGGCAAAAATCCTTTTTAACCCTTTAAATTTACCTTAAAATAATATTTAAATCTCTAAACTAATAATAAAGTAAATAAACCATCCAACTCCACTAATGATATAAATAAACATTTCTCATTCATGAGTGTTCATGGTTTCAAGGAGATAATAAACATCCAATAGGAAAAAACCCTTCTTAAGCCCCTAGACTTACCCTAAATTAGCATTTAAACCCTTGAATTAAAAATGATGCAATTAAACCCTTCAACTCCCCAACTGGTCAAATATGCCCTTCAACTTAGATTTGTAGCAAAAGTGCCGACACTCTAGATTAATGAAAATGAGATATGTAATTATTTTACAATTAAACTCTAGATTTTAATTTATTTTAAAAAAACTCTAGTAAAAAAGTAGATGGAATTTCTAACGATTTTGGGTCTAAATAAAAAAGAAAACTTAATTTTTCTTAAATAAGATTTCAAGTTTGAATCATATAAATAAAGAAATAAGTACTGAAAGTGTTTTTTCCTTATGAGATCTGACTCAAGTTGATTCCAAATTAATTGGGCAAAGGGAAGTACCAAAAAAATAAGATTAAATTAAAAATACAAGTTTTCTAATCTAAAAACTACTTAGAGTGTCAACACAATAATATAGGTATCAGCACTTTTGCTCCAAATCTAAGTTGAAGGGCTTATTTGCACCAGTTAAGGAGTTAAAGGGCTTAATTGCATCATTTTTAGTTTAAGAGCTTAAATGCTAATTTGGGGAAGTCTAGGGGCTTAAGAATGGTTTTTGCCAAAGTAGTCAATACCGTACCGGTATGTGTACCGGTTTTGCTACTGAAACGGTACGTACCGGATACCGAAATTTTTCGTGTACCGTTTCGGATTTATCGCTATAAATATATATTTTTATAAATTAAATATCAAATTTTAAAATAAGATAAGAGATACTAATATTTAAAAC